GAAGTCATTCTTCAGCCGTTCTACTTTTTAAAATATTTCTATTAATCACCTACCCGATATCTGCTCCTTTCTTCTACCCATCTGTCCTCCACCCTCCATCCTTCCACCTTCTATCGATCCATACTCCATCCATCATCCATCCCCAAAGCCATTTTTAACCATCTTCCCGCTTTCCACCCTTCCATTAATCATCCAACCTTCTATATCCATTCTTTCTTCTACTCTCCCTTCTCTCCTTCCTCTCCTTCAATGTCCATGTCCCTCCCAAGGGTTTCCTGAGTGTGTAGTTGTAGCACTTTGCAGAGAGAGTGGAAACGTGAGGACCATGATCAAAACCATGATTCGGAGTCGGAGGGAGTAACGTCAGGGGGGATTTCTGCCCACAAGAGCACCTCCCGTGGTCCTTGAGGTCCAGTGAAGCAGTTCCTCCCTCCTCGGCATATGCTTGGCCTCTTTATCACTGACTGCCCTGCGCTGTCCTGAGAATCAACCTCCGGGCAGCGGGGTTCTCTGGGAATTCTCCCACCTTGCTACTCCGGTGGAGAGGGAGAAGAGACTGGACTGGGGCAGCTGCCCTGGCCTCCCCCGGGCTCGGCAGGGAGGCGCACTGTAGGTACCGGAGCCTCAGGTGCCCCTCTGCCAGGGCAGGGCCCTTGCACTTCCTGCAGCCCCCATGGGTGCACCCCGTGCCTCCTGGACCCCGTGAGTCCTGCCCCTGCACCCCCTGTGTCCCTGGGAGCCTCTCCCTGCTGCCTCCTGGCCCTGGCAGAGTGGGTTTGCACCCCAGCTGCCATCAGCCTCCTGAGGGGTGTTCCCACAGTCAGGGACACAGGCCCCACTTCCTGCTGGGCTGCTGGACCATCCCTGACCATCGCCTGGGTGACGCATGGGACTGTCCCGGCCTGCAGCATCAGCCTGAACGTGGCAGCTGCAGGAGGGGGGCTGGAAGCCCCGGGAGGGAGGAGCAGGGAGGGGCTGCTGTTCGGAGCGGCCCCCGGCAGCGTGTCCTTGTCCCTGTGACCCGTGACTTTACCTGTAGCCCGACCCTGACCCTATCCCTAGGCCCTGCGCTGTGGGCGGCAGGGCCCCTGGGGTACCTATGTGCTCCCCTGGGTGGACCCCAGGCTGGTGATGCTGTGCCAGCCGCCCCTGCCCAGGGAGGCCTGCCTTGCCGCGTGTCCCTGTCACAGAGACTGAGGGGCGGGGCCTCGCCACACAGGAGCTGAGATCCAGGTCAAGTCACTGGGCTGGAGCCCCTGGGAGCTCAGGACAGTGGGGCGAAGTCTCCGGGTGTATCCAGGCTTTGGGATGGAGGGGCCGTGACTGGCAGCTGTGGCCACGGCAGTCTGTGCCCGGGCAGGGGCGTAAGAATGTGTCGTTTATTTTGCAAAGAAAGGGGGGGGGCAGAAGACTCCGTTCCACCACAGGGCGCAAGATTCTGGCTGTTGTGCAGGAGCCGTGTCTCACTCAGTCATTCAACAAACAGTGCTGGCCAGGCTCTGCCCCTGCCCTGGGCCCTGGTTTGGAGCCCCCTCCAGTGGCACACACCTCTGCATGGTGGGGGAGGGTGAACAAAACCTGGGGGCAGCCCAGTCTCAGCCACACCCCGGCAGTGCCTCGGAGCTCAGCCCTTTCCTGGCTGTGGTCACTTTTGCCCCAGCACCGCCCTGCCCGGCGAGGCACATGAGCCGCTAAGGGTTGCCTTGGAGCGCTTCTGTCCTCGGGGCCAGTGGGACAGCTGACAGTCAGGGCCAGGGCCAGGTGCGTGGTCCAGTCCTGGGCAGGGAAGCGGGCCGGGCTGGGCCGGGTGCTGTGAGGCCAGCTCCGTCACTCTGGTGTCGGCTCTGGGGACGAGCTTGCTGCTAGAAGGGCCGCTCTCCATGCAGGGAGACCTCCCCATCCCCTTTCTCCTGCTTCCTCCATCCACCTGCCCGTCTGTCCCTCTGTCCCTTACCCATCCACCCGGCCGTCTGTCCCTCCGTCTGCCCCACCTTCCTCTTCCCAAGGCCCTGGTGGTAGCGCTGTGGTGCCCGCCTCTCTCTCCCGGGTCTTCCCGCTGTCCTCTGTGGTGCTTGGCACTGTGGACTCAGCTGCTCCTCTCAGAATCCTCTGTCACAGCAGATCTCACCTGGGTCTGTCCCTTTGCCAGGCTGGGGACAAGCACCTGGCCACCTCCTCGTGAACTGGGGGCCAAGGGCTCCAAGGCCAGTATTTGCACTGGGCAGTGGTGCCCGGGACTCCTGACCCTGGGTGCGGTGTGCGAGCCCTGGTGTGCAGACTGAGCCAGCAGCCTCCTGCACGGACAGCAGGCGGTTCCAGATCAGGTGCCCACCCTGTCCCTGGGTGGCTGGGGCCGTGGGGTCAGGTGGTGTTCCAGGTCACATGGCCCAGAGTGAGGCTGCCACCCAGACAGCAAAATGCTGCCCAGGTCCTGACACTGCACCTCCCCTGGCTGAAGTGACAGTGCAGCCCTTCCAAGCTCCGCCTGCAGGACAGACTCTCATGGGCAGAACCTAGTTTGCATCCGGAGAACCCAAATGCAAAGGCCTCTGGGAGATGCAGTTTTCAGCTCCCCGCATGCAGGGCAGGAAGGATTGGGGAAGCCTGGGCTGGGCTGCAGGGAGCTGCGTGTGGTGGGCAGCCCTGCTCTGTGGGGACTGACTGTCCCCAGGTGGAGGCCCATGAGACAGAGTGAAAACTCAAGAAGCCTTTGGGGACCGACAGGCACACGCTTGCGGGTGTTGCTTCAGAGAGGCCGCCTCCCCATGGAGGAGGCTGTGGCAATGCAGTTCCTCCTCTCACGGGGACCCCAACAACGGAGCCTGTGCCCCTCAGCTCTGCCCCACACCTTGCCCAGGACTGAACATCTGCCGCTCCCTGGCACGGGATCCCCGGCCGCGGGTGCTGGCGGCCCTTTGAACCTGCTGCAGCTGCGGCCTTCAGGGCCTAAGCTGAGGGCCGCTGGAAAACAGCTCTCTGCCATCAGCGATGGGGAAAACAGGCTGGCGCCATGGTCTGGGAAGAGCATCGAGGCTTGCTGGGAAGCCAGGCCAGGGAAGCCCGCCATCCCTGGTCCCTTCCCCTGTGGCTGCCAACCGTGAAACTGAGCCTGCGAGGTGAGCAGCTGGGCACCGTGTCATCCAGCAGGTGCGCCTGCGGCTGGTGCGCGTCCTTTCCCATGGCCCCGTCCAGGCCTGGGCCCGTGCCACAAGGCCTTGCCAGGCGCCCGAGCTCCGCATGGCTTCACATGCATAGTGGGGACAGGGAGGGTAAGCTGGGAACGTATGGGGGATGGACCACACGGGCCACACCACGTGGATCTCTACTCTGGCCGGGGCCCAGGACCACCCGGGACAATCACAGAGCCACTGAGGGGTGATTCTGAGCCCAGGAGCCTGGCTTGGACCAAGCGTGCCGGCTGTGTGGTGGCGCCCCCTGCTGCCTGTAGGTGGCCTCTGCAGAAATAGAAATCTGCAGTGACAGCAGGTGCAGCACTGCCAGGCTGTAGAAGCCACATTCCTGGGCAGAACCTTCTGGACCCCGTGCTCTGGGCAGTGTGGGCCTGGGTAGTGTTTCCCACTGGGAAGGTGGCTCCACATCTCTCCCAGCCTCTGAGGGCCCCGTCGTCAGAGCCTGGGCTGGGCTGCTGTCACTCTCTCTCCCCAGGCTGACCATCTGCGCCTCCAGGTGTCACGTGTGCCGTGCACAGTGCCTGCCCTGAACATCCGGCCTGCTGTCCGCTTTCCTTCTGGGCTGCCACCCTCCTGGGAGTCTGGGTGCTCTGCCGGCCACCTCTCTTGTGAGGGGCTCACCTGGCTGCACAGGCTGTGGTCATGTTGGGTCCCAGGTGCTGTAGTGGGTGCTGCAGGACCCTCAAAGCTGACCACTCCTCCTTCCCTCCTAACTGTCTGTACGTGCTTCATAAGTAGGGCTTTCCCACTGAGTCCTTGGGGAGGAAGGTCCAGAGTTGCTGAGAAGGATCATTTAGGAGGGACCGGTGTCCAGGAGGCAGCTTGCTTGGGCACCAGATATGGCACTGAGTGTTTTGGTAGTGCATGTTGGGTTCGGGTCCCCAGAGGCATAAGCATAAGGATGGACGTATTGGCCGGGTAGACGTGCTCCTTCAGGCACAGCTTGATCCAGGTGCTTAGGCGGTGTGGCAGGAGTCTGTCTGTGGTCCTCACCCCAGGGTGGCCCCCCCAGCCCCTGCAGCTCACACGTGTATCCATGTGTGGAGCAAGCCAAATGGCGATTCCTCCTTTCCAGGAGCGAGCCCAGGGCCAAGCCCCTTGGTCTGGCCTGTCCATCTGGGTTGGTCCCTGGAGGGTTGGGGTGGGGGGACATGGGACCCTAGGGTGGTGCTCCAGGTGCACACTTGTTCTGTTCCTGTGGCGACAAGCTGCACCTCGCTTTCCCTGCCTGGACGCCGCTGTGCAGTGAGCTGGGCTTGCCAGACACGTGGTATTGGGCAGGGGGCCCTGTGTGTGGGTGGAGTCAGCTGCTCTCGAGGGGATGCTGTGGCTGTGGTTGGTCGATGGTCAGTTTCTCCCCAGCCCTCAGACTTGCTCTTCTCTGCTCCAGCAGTCCTTGCAGGGTGAGGGTCAGGGGTCTCAGGAGGGGCGTGGGGGCGTGCTGTGAACTGTTCTGAGAGATGATCTTTTCCTGGGCAGTAAGGGACAAAGTGTGCCGATGGCAGTGGGGACTCAGGAGGTGCAATCGGGCTGGGGCCGCAGGGCGGCTTCCTGAGCTGCAACCACTCCCACTTCCCAGGATGGCTCAAGATGCTGCCGACTGCAGGGGGCTCCCAGGGCCAGGGGTGTGGGGTCCCAGCATGTCTCCTGGTGCATGGCAACGCTGTGCCGCACTGACACCTGGCCCTGAGCTGGCCCCACCCGAGGGCTTGGGGCGGGGCAGAGGGGTGGCTCCGGCCACCTTGACTCCTTGCTGCTCTGCTCTGGCCCTGCCTTCCCTCCGAGGCTGACCCAGCCCTGTCATTGCAGCTCAGCCAGCAGATCTCCTGAAGGTTCTGGACTTCCACACCTTGCCAGATGGAATAACAAAGACTACAGGGTTTTGTGCCACACGACGATCCTCCAAGGGCCCAGATGTCGCCTACCGAGTCACCAAAGATGCTCAGCTCAGCGCGCCCACCAAGCAGCTGTACCCTGGTGAGGGATGCGGGACTCTCTGGGGGTGGGGGCCTTCCCGGGACCTCGGGCCTGCAGCTGGGGGCCGTGTGATTTCTTGGGAGCCCCTCTCGGGAGCCCCGTTGGATTTCACCTCCGTGCCCGGCTCCGAGTGGCCCTCACCGTCCACACCAGAGGTGCTTGGGGCCTTGTCCCTGCCCACGGCTTCCCGGGCAGGTGTGTGGCGGCTGTAGGGCTGCCAGAGCTCAGCCACACTGGGGAGATGAATGCTCCCCAGGGACCAGGTCAGGAGAAAGCTCGAGGACAGGAAAGGAAGTGCTCGCAGGCAGCAGCTTAATTGGGGGCAGCGACATTAAGAGATACATGAATCAAACATCATGACTCGCAGCAAGCCCGTGAGGCTTTTAATGAGAATCCATTGCCAAGCGCAGGATCTCGGCCTTTAACGACATTACCTGTCCCTCAGCTGCAAGATGCAGCTCCCAGTTATTCTTGTCCCCGGCCTGGGGGCGAGTCCTGTCCCCCAGACAGGTGCGAATGGGCGGGTGATTGATGCTCCTGCGGGCCTTGGGGAGGTGCTGCTGTCCTGGCCTGAGCTGAGCTCCTCTTCCTGTTAGATAAGAGGACAGGAGGCAGGGCCTGGGCAGACAGTCACCTCTGGAGCTGTCTCATAATTACTGGAAGACTCCACTCCATCTTGGTGGTCCGGAAGGGACCCTGGCATCACACCAGAATCAGGGCTCTTTTATCGAGCAGCGGAGCCCCTGTCAGCCTCCTGCCCCGCTGTGGCCCTGAAGGATGCCCTTCCTGGCCGTGTGGCTCCTGGGGCCCCAGCTGTCCGGGTTCCTGGGTTCGTTCCCCTGCCCACAACCCCGTAGGAGAGAAAACTGCACAAACAGCAAATGGATTTATTTACAACTTGGCCGGATGGGGGAGGGCAGCGAGGCTGGCCCTGGCCATGGAACATACAGAACACTCTAGTGTCTCCTCCTCGGCCCTTTCCCTCTGGGGCAAACCGCCCTCCCCACCGCCCTTCCCAGCCTGCCTTCTTCGGTCCCCCCTGCCTGAGTTGTGAGCATGCCTCTGATGGAGTGTCCAGGAAGTCATTTGCGATGGCTGTCACGTGGATGTCATCTCGGCAGAGATGAGGACGCAGCTAGCTGGGACCTTGGAAGCCAGGAGCATCTGAGAGCCCGCTTTTGGGTGCAGAGCTGCCCAGGGTTGTAGATGCCCAGCCTGGGGAAGGTCGCTCATGCGTAAGGGGAGACGTCCGGTCAAGGTGCCCTTGGTGCCCGAATGTGACCTTCCTTGTATTGTGGAGAAGGGCAGCGATTTCACCTGCCCTTGCCTCGGGCGCCTCATACCTTTTGGGGTGGGGAGGGTGCCTTTGGGAACCCCCTTCCAGTACCCATTGCCACACTGCACGCTTGCTTGTCTGCCCTGTGACCCTGGGTTTAGAATCCCTTCCATGGAGCCAGGGCACCAGGAAAGGCCCGAGGGGACTGGAGCTGGGGCCATGCTGACCTACGGTGACCTTGGCCCACAGGAGCAGAGTTCACTGTGCAAATAAGGGCCCCAGCTTTGGAGATAATTTTAGCCAGGACTTGGCGGCTAGTTTAATCTTTTCTTTGTCATGCAATTCAAGGGTACCAGCACAAGAAAGGTACTGGAACTTATATCTGTCCGCATTTCTGCCTCTGGGTGATCTTGCTGCAGGAAATGCCAAGGATGGAGTTAAATGACTGCAAATCTAGGAGGAATCCTTGGACAGTATGGTAGAAAAAAATTTTTTATTGGTGTTTTACTTATGTCGTTAGATGGGGGGCCGGATTGGACACTCCGAGTTGAAATAGCTCTCAGGGCCTCCTCGAGCAGCCTGCGTGAGGCTGCTGGCCCACGTGGATGACTGACCTTTCCTGGCAGAGGCTACTTCCGGACTCTTTGGGAGGGATTTCTATGGCACCCCTCGGCAGATCCGGAGTGTCCAGTCTCAGGAGCACAATGTCTGCTGGGAGCCGCACAGGGAGGGCTGGGCTGGCCTGTGCCAGCCTGGGGCACCCATGAACGCATGTCTGTGGCTGTCTTCGAGCTGAAGGAAGCCCCTTGTAGTCAGGCAGGATTCCTTCGGCAAGGCCCTCAGTCCGGGGTCACCCGAGCCACCAGAGGCCAGCTGAAATGCCACCCCCAGGTCCTGGGCAGCTTCCAAAGTGGGCCACACCCTCAGATCCAATTCTCTTTCTGTCATTTCCTAGGGCTGGGACCACGTCCATTCCTTCTTTGTGTCTCTCTAGAGCCTGGCAGTCGGGGACTGATTGCTACTTACTGATCGCAAGATCAGCTCAAGTGGTCCATGTGCTTGGTCACTGCAGCTCAGCATGACCCAGTTCCATGGCAGAGGCATTTATTGGGCCCCCACTGTATTCCTCGTATGTGCAGTGCCATTGGGCCACAGGTCCAGAGAGGAGGAAAGGATCCAGGGCGGGATTGGCCCTGGCCGAGCCCACCCCTTGGCGGCAACTTCTGCGGGAGGAGTGGTGTACGGACTGTCAGGCAGGGCCTCTCGCCCCAGACCGCCCGCCAGCCCGGAGAGTGCCAGCACCCTTGCTCGAGTCACGACGAGCACGGACATCTTGGAGTGACCATAAATCCGCTGTTATTTTGCCAGGAGAGAAATTTATGTTAAACATAATTTATCCTTTCAGGTTTTATCTGAGCTGAGAAAATTTGTTACCGTAGCAATTTTGTAAATTGAGAAGCAGCGTTTGAATGAGCTGGGAGGGGTGGGGGTTCACGGTCCCGGGCAGTGTGTCATCGTGGGGACAGCGGACACCCTCTTTCCACGCTGGTCATTATTTCAGGTGGTGTGACTGTTGTGCTAGGGTGGCGACAGAGCCAGGCGACCCTTTGGGAGGACAGTGAGATCGTAGTTGACAGGCCCTCTGGGCCGCTCGAGGCAACACAATTTCAGTTCCTTGGTGCGTGCACAGTCCCAGGGACAGCAGCCACCAGGCCCCTGCCGCTGGCCTGGCCAGCTGCGGTCTCTCTTGACATGCACAGCAGGCCGCCCTGCCCCTTGGTGGTGCCAGCTGACTGATTTCCTGTCCCCACATCCTGAGGGGCCAGTGTCAAGCCTGTGGCTGTGGGCAGGGGTGGCCTCCTCTGCTCTCTTCCTAGGTGACTTCCTGTCCGGAAGTGAGGGCAGCGGGACTCTTTCCTCCTTGGGACCTTCCTTCCACTGGCCACCGTCCGCTGCTAGGAGCTGCCCCAGCCTTGTGATGGGCCCCGGAGGGCAGCTGGTCACAGTGCTGACCTTCCGGGGAGACCCCCTAGCAAGGGACCTGAGACCTCACAGTGGGAGGGTAGCATTCTCCCACTTCCTCCTGCTGCCTTTGAGGCCAGGCCAGTTTCACTGCTGGGCACAGTGCAGCCCTGCATAGGATCCCTCTGCATGTCCTTCAGTGGAAGTGGAGACTGCAGCAGGCAGGTGTCCTGTCTACCCCTGAGTCAGAGCCCTGTTGGTGCTGTGGCCTTTGGTCTCCTAGCACAGCAGCTGTAGCACTGAATTCCATCAGCAGAGGGCGCTCACAGATAGCTTTCCCTGGAAGTGCTATCCATCCCAACTCTGCCATCCCGCAGCAAATGTTGGCAGTGGCCTTTGGGGACATCTGGTTGACCTTGTTCCAGTTCTATATGGGTGAGGCTGGCAGCGGAGTCTCCTCCAAGCCCATCAGCCCAACTTGTAGCTATGGGGGTCGGGATGGCCCCAAGAGCAGGCTCCTCCCTCGCCTTCAGCCTGTGAGTATGTGCTGACCTCCCATGCCTCTGCTGGGTCTGGGAGGCTCGCTGCCCTGGGCCGGGCATTTCTGGCTGACTTGGCAGGACATCAATTAACTGCATGCTCTACCAGCTCCTGGGCTCATGGTAGAGCTGCAGACGGCTCCCCATGAAGGAACCGATAACTTCACCCCACAATCAATAGCAAGGAGGAGGCCAAGGTGCCTGGCATGCCTGGGGCCAAGGGCAGCGTGGAGGGGTGGATGTGGGGCCCTCGCAGGGCCAGCCTGGCTCTGGCTTTCCATGGGATGGTTTCTGGCTGGGGTTATAAAGGACACTCCCTCCTGGCCACCTATGGGAGAGTTGTTTTTCCTAATATTTTAAAGTCGGATTGAAGCCTTTGGATTTTTTGGACTTTTTCTGTTTTGCATAATAACCAGGAAATCTCAGAAAGTGCAGTTCTAGCTGTGGCCCCAGGCCACACCTAGAGGGGCCTGCACCGTACCCCCTCTTATCCTTTCCTGCCCTCCGCTCCGGTCCCCTCTGCAATGGATGTTGAAGTAGACAGTGCCTCACATAGCCTCAGACACAACGGCAGCTACCAAGATGCATCGGAAGCAACCTCTGCCCTGGCGGAGCTCGTGGTCTATGAGGTTCTAGCTAGATTTATATGCAGGTGTGGGAATGGAGACGGCCAGTCTGGTTTTGTGGAATGGCTTGCACTTGAACTGAGGCGTGAAGGGACAGGCTTGTCATGTGGTGGCAGAGAAGGGCTGCAGGACCAGGGTGGTCAGAGGGCAGATGTGTGGCAGCTGGCTGTGCAGTGCCACACGCAGCGAAGGCCTCCAGTTGGTTCGTTTGCAGCCTTCTCACCTCGGTCTCCTGTTCCAGCGTCTGTGTTTCCTGAGGACTTCTCCATCCTGACCACTGTGAAAGCCAAGAAAGGCAGCCAGGCCTTCTTGGTCTCCATCTACAATGAGCAGGGCATCCAGCAGATCGGCCTGGAGCTGGGCCGCTCGCCCGTCTTCCTCTATGAGGACCACACCGGGAAGCCTGGGCCCGAGCAGTACCCTCTCTTCAGGGGCATCAACCTGTCAGATGGCAAGTAAGTGGCATGTGGGTTACCCTGTTCTCCTGCGGGGCAGGCAGCAGCCTGGCTGGATCTGCTGGTGGAAGGGGTATGGCGGAAAGGTGTGTAGCGGTAGCACCTGAGGAAGGGAGCACTGGGCTAGGAGTTCTGAGGCCTGGGACCCAGTCTTAGCTCATCCTTCAGATTTCCTATTCCCCCTGGGCCTTCTTTTTCCCTTTGTAAAATGCCTCAAAGCACCAAATGCTGCCTCCATGTCACAGGGGATGCTGTAAGTGTGTAGTTGTTCCAGAAGGGACTTGCAGTGTCCTTTCCAGATGGTGACACATCCAGTGTGCCAGTGGATGATTGAAAACAAAAGCAGGCCTCGTCAGAGTTCTCTGTCAGGAGAGCCCTAATGCCGTGGCCTCTTCCATGGCCAACATGCCTGAGGTCCTGGGAAGGCGGTGATTTTGTGTCCTTCCTAAGACTTTTGTGTGGTGATTCTGCCACATCCAGTGGCCTGCAGCTTGTTTCAGGGCTCAGGTGCCACATGCCAGACTGGGAGCTTCATGCTAATGTCATACTGCACCTCGGCCTCCCTCCCACTGCTGCTGACGGCTGTGACATTGGCTGGTGTCGGGCTGCTCACTTGAGCATCCCAATGAGCTTACAGGGATCTGAAAACTGTCCTTGTTGGAAGAGACAGGGATTCTGAGGTCGTGGGAGGCCGAGGAGCACTCAGGGTGGCCTGCAGTGTTGCTGGAATGTGTGTCTGAGCTTCAGACTTTGAACTGCAGAAAAGAGCCCTCCTCCTTGGGGCTGGAGGGGTCTGCAGTGAGGTCCCCAAGTTGGGCTTCTGCAGTGCAAGCTCTCCTAAGCCCCCAGGCTATCTGTTTCTTTGCAGGTGGCACAGAATTGCTCTCAGTGTCCACAAGAAGAACGTCACCTTGATCCTCGACTGTAAAAAAAAGACCACGAAGTTCCTTGACCGCAGCGACCACCCCATTGTAGATGTCAATGGCATCATTGTGTTTGGCACCCGGATCCTGGACGAGGAAGTATTTGAGGTGAGCAGCGGGGCTGGGTGGTCCCCGTGCCACCTGGGCACACAGTCTGCTGGTGACTGAGGTCCCCTGACTCCAAGCTGGATGTGGTGTTGGCTTAACCCTGGTGCCACGCTGGGAACAGGCCACTAAGCATGCCACATGTGGATCCCACGTCTCTGTTGATAGCAAAAGTGTCTGCCAGTGGGGACAGGGCAAGGACAAGGCCCTGCGATGGTGGACATGAGAGAAGAGTGCATTTACCTCATGGTAGAAGCTATTGTGAACATGAAGTGTGACTGTGGAAGGGAAAATCAGCAGAATGCTGCCTGCAGTATGGGCCGCCTGGGTGGTATGCTCAGCTCTGTTGGGTGTTGGATTGACATTCAGCCTCAGTGACTCCATCTGTAGAATGAGATTGTAAATGTGACCATGTCTTAGAGCTGGGGTTGAACACAAGGTGCAGCAGGCCACCTCCCTGTGGACAGCAATGGAGAAATGGCAGTTGCACTTCCAGATGTGAATCCAGCATCAATGCCAGTAGACAGTGAGGACTGAGCCCAGCGGTCTAGTGCAGGCAGCTGGGAGAACCCAAGCAGCTGTTTCTTCAGGGGAAGCAGGTGGCCTGTGGGGAGGTGGGCAGGAGCCCTGGCATGATGCTGGGTCTACTGGATGTGGCTGGCCTTCTGTGGGTCAGGTTCCTGGGATGTGGCAGTCTGGATGTTCTGTAGGGTGGGCCAGGTGTGGCCAGGCCTGGCCTCAGCTGTGTGGGTGGTGGCCTTGGGCTGTTCTGGGGAGCAGGAGTTGAGAGCTGGTTGGCAGATCTTGCAGACTGCACTGAGGGCTGGTTTTACCTCTTGGCTGCTGGGAGGATCTAGGCAACTCGGGTGGCATTGACGAGCTTTGGGACTGTCCTTGGTGGAGTGTGGATAATGGCAATGGCACTGCGAGAGCTGAGGTTGTGCACTTGGTGCTGCTTAGCATTGCAGCCGGGGCACTGGTGCTGCCACTGCTATACATTTTCCTGTGGACCAGGATCCTAACTTGGATAGGCCAAGGCATTGGGTCTGAAATAATTTACTGTGCAGTAGCCATAGTCTGTGCTGTGCTAAACCTTTGATCTGTCTAGGTAGGGCTTTCTGTGTGCTTATAATGTGCCTTTTATTGTAAAAATCCCAGGAAAAAGCTTTGTCACATCTTAAAAAATAGGATCCTTAGACTAACACTGCTTCCTCGATAACTAAGCAAGAAGAGCCCTCTCCTGAAGCACATATATAGAAGACTCTGATGCTTTCTGGAAACACTGGAAGTCAGCAGCCAGGATGGGCTGTGAATCTCAGCTTCCCCATCTCCCAACTGCCATAGCATGGCTGAGTTCTCTAACCTATCTGTGACTCAGTTTCCCCATCTGTAAAATGGGGACAATAATCATACCCATGTTTTATGTGTGAGAGACACCACGCAGGGATTAATCCATGGAAAATATGTGCACCAGTGCCCCCCCACACAAGCAACCCCTGGCTTCTACCTGCTATATTGGTAAAGAATGAAAACACGGTGTTATTTTCACAAACACACAGACTTTGTGTTGAGGGGCTGGTGTTGCTGATCTGGCTGGCTCTTCTCTGCAGCCTACGCCAGCCAGGCTCACAGCGAAATGCCCATGAATTCTGCGTTTCTGGAGAGGGTGTCTCTCCTGTAGAAGAATTGGATTTGAGTGTGTGGCTGCCAGGAACGAGGGATTTTTGTTGACCACAAGTTGTTAATGGTCCGAAAGCCATGTTTTCCCAGCCCCAGGGTTTCCTGGCTGTTAGCTGTGCTCACGGCGGGAAATTGGACCTGTCTTCCTTAATGAAGACCAGCGGAGTCCAGCAGGGCTGTGAGCGGCCCATGGGGCCCTTCTCCCTTCCTTTTTCCTTAACACTGCAATGATGAGGTGGGAGAGCTGCCTCATCCGCCGGCTGCCCTTGGTCTCCCTGCCAGTGGAACTGAATTTCTGTGCCTTTTGAAGGGAAAGTCATTTAACTCTTTGCTTCCAAAAGATTTCAAGTAACGACACTGCGGTTTTCACTGTTCGGCTTTTCTAGAAGGAGCTTAAGACAGAGAGGGTGAGACTGTGGAAACTTTCTCCAGCAGCCACGTCCTTCCTCTGGAAGGTGATTTCCACTCGTTAAAAGCCAGTTTGTCCCACAGCTCTGCAGAGCTTGGGGTGAGCCTGAAAGGTCTGGGCGTGCAGGTGGAGGCCGAGCTGCGGCTGGCATGTGCACAGTGTTGTTCATAGAGCACATGGCTGACTGCTGGAGAGCCCTGGGGCCGCAGAGCTTTTCCTGGAGTGGTCCTGGCCACACAGAGGCCCCTTGTCCAGCCTGAAGTGCCCTTGAGGGAGAGAGCTAGGGACAGGGCCTCCTGGGGCCAAGATGAATCCCTCCCTGCAACCAGGAGCCCTCGGCCTGGGTGTGTGGCCTTGGCAGGCCCTGCCAGTCCTGCTCCTTCACCCTCTTCCCTCCACTTGGGCCTGAGTTCAGCTCTGATGGGGCCGCCCTGCTGTCTAGGGAAGTGGGCCGCCCAGTCCTCTGCAGAGCCCCCGAGAGGAAACCGAGTGCAGAGAGAGGGCAAGGCCCTTGGTCCTGCAGCCTTGGCCTTTGTGGTCCATCTTTCTGGCCAGAGGTGTTGAGCCCAGGTCTTCATCTGTGAAATGGGCATGACGGCATGGCACTGGGGGTTGTGGGGTACTCAGTGGAGGCTGCATAAACCATCTGTACCCTTGAGGGGCGTGACCAGCCGCAGTGGCCTGGCCCCTGTTGTCAGAGTGGGTGGCCCTTGTTCTCCACAAGAGGTGCCCTGCAGCCGCTGCCTGGGTCTGAGCCGAGGAGTCCCCAGGAAAGAAGTAGCCTCGGGTCATCTGTGCTCATGTGCCCGTGCCCGACGTCTCCGAAGTGCTCGGCGAGGCGCAGGCTGCTGGGCTGCCCTCCTTGACTCCCGGGCCCCACCCCCTGGCTGGGTGTTAGTGGGGGCCAGGCTCCCCGGGTCTTGGCCTGGCCTGCCCCGTCGGCGTGTCCTCAGGGGAGAGCGTGGCTGCCCAGGCACTGTCCGAAGGCGCATGTCCAGTCCCCTCCGGGGTGTGTCCCAGGGCGAGGCACAGGAGGTGCTGGCAGTCACGGCTCTGCTGTGAGGAAGTGGGTTGCAGAAAGAGGTCTTCACACCCAGGCCGGGTCAGCAGCCTCAGTGTGTGCTTGGGAACACAGATGCGACAGCCAGGGGGAGCTGTGGTGTCGGGGAGGGGAAGCAGGCTGTGCCCCGTGGGCGCAGCTGGCAGAGGGGGTCAGGCTCGGCCGAGACCACGCCCACGGTGGCCTGTGAGCTCTGCCCTGTGCCACCCTCAGCCTGGTGCAGGGGTCTTGGTACTTCCCTCCCCTTCCCTTCTCTGTCTCCTCCTCCTCCTTTCCCTTTCTTGTTCTCTTTCCCTTTCTGTCTCTTGCACTCTCCCTCCCTCCTCCCTCCTTCCCCCCTCCCTTCCTTCCTTCCTGTTCCCAGGGCCTTTGCACTGAGCTCCAGCTCAGCTCCAGCCATTTTTGTTATTATTATTTTTAAAAATTTCAGATAGCGTCTCACTAAGTCGCTAAGTTGCCCAGGCAGAGTTTGAACTTGCAACCCTCCTGCCTCAGCCTCTCAGAGTGCTGGGATTATGGGCACGCATGACAATGCCTGGCTTCCTGCAGCTCAGGAAGCTGTCACCAGGAGGGCTGAGCAGCTCGCCCAGGGTCACCTCTGAAGGGCCGCATGCCCTTCCCCAGCCAGGATGGGACCGTGCACCCAGACAGGATGCTGGACCACAGCTGCCCCTTTGGTGCCCTGGCCTTGCCCTGGGCCTCGGCCACTCTGCTCCTGTGGCCCTTCCTTCATAGGACCTGAGGACGACAGAGCCCCCTGCACCGGGGTCTGTGAAGCCTGGAGCCTTCTGGGAAGAGGCGGAGCAGGCTGTTGGTGTCCCTGGGCTCCCAGCCTCAGCTGCATGGTGGTTTCAGGACCCACTGAGCTCGCCCTGGCCTGGCACTGCCTGGGCTGGAAGGAACAGGAGGCAGTGGGCTGCTCACGTGGGTGTGGGGCAAGGTAGGGCCTGGGTGCGCAGCTTTAGGTCCCGGCAGCCGAAGGACCCTCCTTCTGGGGCAGCCGCAGAGGAGGATGCAGCCTGGGTGCAGCCGGCCAGCAGGCTCTGGGCTGGAGCCAAATATGCTTTCCTGAACTCAGCTCCCCAGAGCCCCGCGTGCCGGGGGCAATGGCTTCGAGGCCAAGCAGCCAGTGGTTTTCTGCCGGCCACCATGCTTCATTGCCCGGAGGGGCCCAGTGTTTCCCTGATCCCTGAGCCCCTTTCCAGGATCCTGGCTTTTCCACTGATGCAATCTTTCCTGGAATTCTGCTCTTGCAGGCAGGAGTGGGCTGTGCTGAGGACGCACTCTCCAGGCTTCTGCGCCTGCTGGGGCTCCTCTCTGGGGTGAGGAGCTGTCCTTCTGCTCATGCGCAGGAGCAGTGTCCAGGTCCCATGGGGGGCGTGTGGAGGACACCCTGGGTGTGGGGTCAGTCCGGCTCTGAGTCCCCACTCTGCCCTCCCAGGCTGGGACACTCTGAGCTCTTGATCCTCCCAGGAGCCACCCTGCCCTTTGCCAGCTCCCTGAGGGCTCCCTGGTGGCCTTGCTGGGTGCAGGGCACAGCCTGGAGTGGGCAGCTCATGGCTCACAGCTTGAGCAGGGCAAGGTCCTGGGCATCCTGGGCACTGCAGCATCAGGAGGGGCGGGGATGGGAGCCGCAGAGCTGCCAGCGAACGCTTGGGCCCTCGGGTGGGGGCCTGCTGGAGGAGCTCCCCCTTGGGGTGGGAGCTGAGTCCCTTGGCTTGGAGTCCATAGTCCTCCCTGTGGCCTTGTGCCCTGCATGTTCATTGACAGGAACCACGAGGGGCCCGGGGGGAAGGTGGCCGAGTGGGCTGTGCCGGTGGAGCCAGCTCTGGCCAGGGTGTGAGGCAGCCGTAG